AAAATTTCATGATATTACACAAGGCAGGGAATAAGTTGCTAGTTCATATAACAAATATGAGATATAAACATACAATCAATATAGAAAAGTATATGTGTATGATAAAATTTCATGATACTACACCGTGTAGGGAATTAGTTGCTAGTTCATAACAAATACTTTGTTAAATTTATGGAATATATATATATATATATATATATATATATATATATATATATATATATATATATATATATATATATAATATAATCTTAACAATTACAATTAAGTTTAATTATTTATTTCCTTTTTCTCTCAAAAAGGTTACTAGTAATGAATAATTTGTGAATTGCAGAATTGGCCAATGTAAAATTCATAATATTGCAAGTACTTTCTTAGGGAAAGTATTGTAAGTACTTTGAGAAAGAGGAAGTATAAGAATTTTCTACTTTCAAAACCATGTTTTAAATTAATTTATTCACTTTTTTGTTTTTTTTGGTAATGCTATATGCTACCCTAAGGGTTACATATAAGCATTTAATATATTTTTTTTTTAGTTTTTTATTTTATTTTAATAGTACTTCCCTTTTTAATATTAAATTGGGAATTTATCAACAATTCACGAGTAAATCGAATAAATGTTTATTTATTTATTTATTTTAAAAAGATTGGATTCTAATGATTGTAATTCTCAAAACCATCATGCTAAATATTCTTGGAATTCTTTATCACGACTGAAAATGAAATTAAAAAAAAAATACAATTTATTTTTGAAAAAACAGATAATTAAACACAATGTACTACCGGCCACCGTGTACAACTCATACAAGTCAAACAACGTGGTGCTATGCAGCTATTAATAGCCGAATGTCCGCTAACAAACCAACCGTTACATTTTTATGGGCTCCAATGGGGCATAGAAGGGCTAAATTGGGCCGTTACTGCATTAGAGTCCAGCAACTCCACAATAGGCATGACATTCACACACCTAGGCACTACTGGTTGATAGATGCTCCTCTTGATATTGCATAGTCCATCAACTTCTCAAATGTTCCATTCTTCACTACTCGAATCTCAAGCGGACCAACTGATCGGTCAGCAACCCGACATTGTCGATATACCGAGTTAAGGGCCTCCTCAATGGCTAAACAGCATTGGCCCAATACCTCATGATCCAGCCCAATAGTGGTCTCATTAGTTAAAAGCTCCCAATAAATGACGTAATGTCCCGGTATAGTTTTGGTATCTGCATAGCTTGTGTACTCAACAACTCTTGTGTTAAAAGGTTTGAGCAAAGCTGATGCACTCTCTATCGCATTTAACAACTCTGATTCATCCGTCTTATCCGAGGCAATACGAATTGGATGATCGAAGCATACCAGCAATTTCAAATCCACCAGTCGGGTACGAAGACAGGGGAGAAGGTTTCCTCCTAATGAACTTGAATTGTGAGGTTGAGTTATAGAACCCCGTCACTTGTAGCACATCCCCAACTTGGTACCTGTACAAGTAACTTGAAATAATTAGCAGATAAATAACTCAAAAGATTTTTATTTACATTATTAATCAGAAGTACTAAAATCAATTACCTGTACAATCCTGAATGGGTGGTGACTACAACCTCATACTCCTTTCCGACTTCTACATCAGCCAGGTTTACCAGTTGAGTGGCCGAGCTGTCCCCAAGTGGGATGAACTCAAAATATGCCATATTAGGCATTATAGTGTAGGAAACTTCCGAGGGGGCACACATTGGGTTTAAGTTGAGTCCAAAGTAACACTCCGAGGAACCGTACATAATACATACCTTAGGTAACTCACCACTATAATAGTCCAATGTAGGTATATATTGAGCCATTGTACCCGTCACAATCACTTCTAAGTATTTTGTATTGGGCCAAATCTTTTTTATTATCCCTTCCCAATTCTTACCTTCACATGTATGGATAATAAATTCCGCAAGCTGGGGGTCAGGCCTCATGATCTTACTCATGCAGGCTCGTAGGTCCGAATCAGTGATAGTTGAGCTTAGAGTGCCAGTTTTGATATCGTGGCAAAGGTTGTGGAAGTGATTTTGGAGGAAACGGATGGCCCGGAGGAGGCCAGAAGCAAAGACGGCTCCTATATGGAGGACCTCATGACGGTCATAAAGGCCACATAACATTTGGGTGTACATGGACTGGAAAGAGTCGAGGCAAAGTACCGCCTCATAAGGGCTAGTTTTAACGTTATAAAGATCATAAGGCCGGTTTCTAAAGTAGCTACTTTTGTAGTAGCAAGTGAGAAGTGGATGAGCCACAAGACCTCCTGGAGTTTTTGTTTCTGCTTTGATGAATTGGAAGTACATGCCTTTTCCTTTGTCTAGGCCTGGCATATATCTGTTATACAAATTTAACCAAATAAATAAATAAATATATATATTAGTGTATGTTGTGAATTGTTTCAAAAAAAAAGTGTATGTTGTGAATTTGCATTCTAGAAGTCGCTAGGGCTAATGAATTTTCTAGCTAGCTAGTATTTCGACTTTGTCATATTATTATGGTTAATCGCTACCTAAAACGCTATTAATTAAGAATATCAACTTACTGGTTCATAATAGGTGTGCAAAAGCTTGAAAACAGCAACCTCCTTTCAATCTCTTCAGAAGTCATTGGTATTAGTTTTCCCTTTCCTGCTGAAGTTCCCGAACTACAATAATAACCAAATAAGTTAATTAGTTTAAGTTTTGAGTGCGAGTAATTATAGCTTTGTCATAGGCTAGTAAGTAGGGGTGGTTTTGGGTTGGGTGGGTCATTGCGGAAAAGGTGGTGTGGTGCAATTATAAATGTTGTAATAGTGGGTCAAAACGATCAAATTCCGATTAAATTTGTTGATACAACATAAAAGTATAGGGAAGAAAGTAATTATAGCTTTGTCAAAGATGAAATTAAGTATAGAAGAGAAAGTAATTATGGGAAATTTCTTGTTTCTCATGGTGAGAAACAAGACATTTTCGTGAATAAATCAACAACTATTTCATCATTGTGGCCCCACAATTAAATAAAGTTAAATTAAGTTGTAGATTTATTTACGAAAATGCCATGTGAGAAACAAAATTAGTTTCTCACCATAAGAAATTGGGGCATCCTCAGTAATTATAGCTTTGTCAAAGATGAAATTACCTAGTAAGAAATTCAATGATTGGTTGGACACAAAGAATAGGCGAGAAATTCCCATTAGCAATTCGTTGAATATCAGGTTGAATATCTTCGTAAGTTACCACCGGAATCTTCTTCTTGAATGTCTCAACGTCGACACACCCCTTCATCCCATGTCGTTTCAAGTACTCGGTGTCGGCGTTTTGGCTCAAAATATGAGCCAAAACCTTCCTTTGCTCCTCTTCACACTTGCTCGTCACCCCCTCAATGAATTCCAACGCAGCCACATATTTGTCTTTCCTCGCCATCGTCGATCGTTGTAAAAATGTTGTAAGTTTGTGATAGTAGCTTAATTAATTTAGAAGCTGTTGTTGTTGTTTTGGTTGAAAATGGGAGATTGGAAAGAGGATATTATATTGCAGATACTTTGGAAGTAATATGAACGGGGCAAAGTAGGCAAAAGAAGGTCGTGGTACACGTTTGAAGTTAATCTATAAACCATGCATTTTTCTTTCATGATTGTTAATTCACCTTTTGCATTGAGTGTGCTACTACTTTATTAGGAAATCACTTTGTTGCGGGGTCATTTTCTCATTGTGATGTGCAGATTGGCATCTTATTACTCGTATTTTTTTTTTCTTTTTAAATGCATTAACAAATGCATACCAGATACCACTAATAATAAGTTGTCAATGGTGTAAGATAATAATAATAATAATAATAATAATAATAATAATAATAATAATAATAAATAAATAAATAAATAAATAAATTTTAAAAAAATTGCCATGTGACACGTATTTAACTCCTTTTTTTTTAATGCATTAGTTTGATCGGAACATTTGACGAGATGTAACTTTAACCATTAATATTTTTAATTTTCTATTAGTAAAAATTATAACAAAATTGTATTATAAAACTACTAATCAAATGATACATTATATAATATGTGAATACTGAATAGTACAAAAGTCAAAGTGATGGAGTATTAGTATGAGCTCTCTCTCTAGTCTCTAAACAGCAACGGAATAAAAAGTACTTGTAGTTTTGGACTTGGGCATGCCTTCATGTCATGATCTGTCAAAATATTTTTGTTTTTGTTTATAAACAAGAAATATAGTAGCAGTGCCGGATCTAGGATTTTTGAACTGGTGAGTCACCATCAATAATTGTTCACTTGTTTCAATCCAAAACTTATTTTATATATATATATATATCACCAAAATGATTTCAATCCAGAAATAGGACATAAAAATCCATACTACAATAGTACTTAAAAATTCAATCAAGTCGAAAGTATGTACTCCAAATAATTAACATGTTACAAACAAATAGTACTATAAAATTAGTACATTAAATTAACTTTATATTTTTTACTTAATTCATAAGCTTTGTAGGAAAATATTAAAATTGGTTGCGAAAATATAGTATAAATAGAAACAAGAATTATTAAAAAAAATTATACGGAGTTCAAAAAAAAAATAGTGAGATAACTTAAAAGACTTGTTATTAAATATAACAGGTCTTTTTAATGAAAAAAGAAAGGAGTGTGACGAACAATAGCAGCAAAGAGACCACCTATTTATAATAGGCGGTCTCTTTGATAATTTTTTTTTTAAAAAACAATTATTTTTTTTTGGCTGGTGAGTCACGTGACTCACCATGCACCTACATAGATACGCCCCTGTATAGTAGTGTTCAAGCCTTCAACCATGAAGCTCTAATGTTGCTGAATTTACAATCTTGTCCATAAATCACTAACGAAAATGATTTTATACCCTTATATTAACATTTTTTTTATATAGAATATTAACTTGTATAATTTCTCATTATATTCTGTAAGAACTAAATCAGTAGATATATTAGTATTTAGGCACATAATAATTGAATAGCGCTAAAACAGTAGTACCAAGCAATATGTTAAGATAACGACATTTTGGAATTCTGAGTGATACATCACTGAAAATGAAAGAAAATTAACAACAGAGTAATTTATTTTCTGTAAAAACAGATAATTAAACACAATGTACACCTGTCACCGGGTACAAGTCAAACAACGTGCTACAATACTGCTATCTATAGCCCAGTGTCCGCTAACAAACTAACAGATACATTTTAATGGGCTTAAACGGGACCTCTTTGTGGGCTCCAATGAGGCATAGAAGGGCTGAAATGGGCTGAAACTACTCTGGAGTCCAGTAACTCAATAATGGGCTTAACATTAACACATCTAGGTGCTTTGTACTGGTTAATAGATGCTCCTCTTGATATTGCATAGTCCATCAACTCCTCAAATGTTCCATTCTTCACCACTCGGATCTCAAGTGGCCCAATTGAACGGTCCGAAACCCGACATTGTCGGTAAACCGAGTTAAGGGCCTCCTCAATGGCTAGACAACACTGGCCCAATACCTCATGATCCGGCCCATTTGTAGGATCTTTTGTTAAAAGCTCCCAATAAAGGACATAATGTCCTGGTATAGACTTGGTGTCCGCATAGCTTGTGTACTCAACAACGCTTGTGTTGAAGGGTTTGAGCAAAGCTGAAGCGCTTTCAATCGCGCTTTGCAACTCTGACTCGTCGGTTTTATCCGAATCGATACTGAGTAGAACGTTCTTCCTCCTAACAAACTTGAATTGCGGTGCTGAGTTGTAGAACCCTGTCACGTATAGCACATCCCCAACTTGGTACCTATACATAAGGTAGAAATTGAAAATTAGAAATACTAATTAGAACTTTGCAAGTAGTAAAATCTACTAAATAAACTAACTAAGCAAACAATAGTTTTATTATCAATTACCTGTACAATCCTGAGTGTGTGGTGACTACAAGCTCATACTCCTTTCCGACCTCCACATCGGCCAAGTTTACAAGCTGAGAGCCCGAGTTGTCGTCGAGTGGGATGAACTCGAAATACGCCATATTAGGTAATATAGTGTAGGAAACCTCTGAGGGGGCACACATTGGGTTCAAGTTAAGTCCAAAGAAACACTCCGAGGAAGCATACATAGTACATGCCTTAGGTAGGCCACCACTATAATAATCCAATGTAGGTATATATTGGGCCATGGCACCCGTCACAATCACTTCCAAGTACTTTGTATTAGGCCAAATCCTCTTTATTATCCCTTCCCAATTCTCACCCTCACATGCATGGATAATGAACTCCGCAAGTTCCGGGTCGGGCCTCATGATCTTACTCATGCAAGCCCGCAGGCCCGAGTTAGTGATCATTGAGCTAAGGGTTCCATTGGCTATATCGTGGCAAAGGTCGTGGAAGTGGACTTGGAGGAAACGGATGGCTCGGAGGAGGCCGGAGGCAAACACTGCTCCCACACGGAGCACCTCGTGGCGCTCGTATAGGCCACATAACATTTGGGTGTACATGGACTGGAAAGAGTCGGGGCAAAGTATCGCCTCGTTAGGACTAGTATAGACGTTGTAAGGATCGTAAGGCCGGTTCTTGAAGTGGCTACTTTTGTAGTAGCTTGTGAGAACTGGACGAGCCACTAGGCCTCCTGGAGTTTTTGTTTCGGACTTGATGAATAAGAAGTAGAGGCCTTTTCCTTTGTCTAGACCTGGCATGTATCTGTTGATACAAATTAATCAAATAATTATGGTCAGTTTTGCATTTAATTTGTATTATATAAATTATAAAAGGCTGAATGAATGAATGAATATTGATTTTTAATACAATAGTTGTAGACAAATTAAAGGACGTATACATTATAAAAGTATACATTTGTGTGTAATTTTATTGGACATATCACGTCTTATCTAACTATATATGTATGTAAATACCAAATATTATTGATAAGGAAAAACAAAAGCAAACAACAAAGAAAAAAGCGTAGTTCTATATCTCAAGTATGGTGTAAAATAGCATTTATCTGTAGTCTCTTTTCGTAAAACACAAGATAAAAAAGTTTAAAGAACAAAGGATATATTTTTAGCTAATTTCAGAGGCGTGTTCTTTAATTAATGCAATATATTGAAATAGCAAATTTCTATTAGTAGTAAATGTATGATTTTTTAATAAAGTTGTGTAGTAGTATATATAATCAAAATTATTATTTAAGTGAATGAATAAATTTGTCCATATTTGAGTAGTGGAGGAAATTAAAAGGACTTACTGGTTCATAACAGGCATGAGAAGGCTGTAAAGCAGTTGCCTCCTATCCATCTCCTCAGCAGTTGTTGGCATCAATTTTCTCTCTCCTGCTGAAGTTCCAGAGCTGCAATAATCACCCAATTAATCTCTAATTACGGAGTAATTATTTGGATGATTAAACATCAAATACTTGGTAATTATATTAATACACTTTTTTTTTCTTCTGTCGTAGGTTATTTCATTTAAGTTGGTCAATTTCGACCAGAATTTATCTGTTCTTAATCATTGACTACGTTCAATAAAGGTATTGAAAGTCAAATCACCACATATTTTGACTTTACATTACATTAATGAGCATGAGTGTATCAAAATATCATACTCTTCTGTATGTATGTAACGTACTCAAAATTAAATTTGTCTTTCTTTTTTGTTAGTGAACTTTTATTAGACAATCATTTTAGAAAATACGCGTAAAAATTTCTATACTAGTAGTAAAAATTTTCGAATATGTGTTATTAAATCAATTAAAGAATGTTTGTTACCTAGTAAGAAATTCGGTGATTGGTTGGGCGCAAAGAATAGGAGAAAAATCCCCATTAGCAATACGTTGGATATCAGGCTGAATATCCTCGTACGTCACCACTGGAACCTTATTCTTAAAAGTCTCAATATCAACACACCCTTTCATCCCATAACGTTTCAAGTACTCGGTGTCGGCGTTTCGGCTCAAAATATGAGCCAAAACCTCCCTTTGCACCTCCTCACATTGGCTCGTCACCTCCTCAATGAATTGCAACGCAGCCAAATCTTTCTCTCTTCTCGCCATTGTTTATCGTCGTAAAGATAATGTTGTAAGAAAAAACAAATTTAATAAAACAAATTTAATGTAACAAAAATATTGCAGAAAGCTGAGTTTTTTTTTTAGCCAAGTAAATTGGGAAGTTTTTGTGAATATTGGTTGAAGTGAGTATGATAGAATGAAAAGAGCAAAGGAGTTTATATAGGGCAAAAAAGCTACAACGTAGGATAAAAGACGTCATGGTAGACGTAAAAAGTTGCCACAAGGAAGAGGGACAAGTAAACTTGTTACTTGTGAATTGTGACTCTTGACTAAAATACGTATGTACTAATTCCATTTTTAATTACAGTGACATCCATTTTTAATTTTTTTGATTGGTCGTTGATATTAGATATATAATCAATTAATCATAATAATAGTTGTCATAATAGTAGACAATGGAGATTTTGGACTCCAATAAGCCCAAATGATATGATATTGATTGTTTTTTTTTTTCCTGCATGTTTAAATCATTTTTTTTTGTTAAGCTATTCTAGCCGTCCTTCAAATAAAATAACTCCGTACTAGCAAAATTATTAAATAAAACTGTAATTATAGATTTTGATTATATTTTTAAAATTCCAATTTTTGTCATTTTTGTGTGTTGTTGTCTTTTGGACAACTTAATTATATTTTGGGCTTGTTTGTAAATGTTTATCTGACTTTTAAGATGTGATTATGCAACTTAAGAAAAGTTAATTTTGGCTTTAATTGTATGAGTATTGACTAATGTAATGTTTACTATACATCTTAGAAAATTCAACGTGTAAAATTTCAAAGTCTTACTAATTTTACAGCATCAACAAAAACTACTACGTTTGAAATTTAACAACCAAAGATCATTAGTCATTATCCAATGTTTAATTTTTTTTCATTGACTGAATTTATATAGATCCAAAACCTTATTATTTTATGTTTAATGGTACTATTTGTGTAGCATGCATGATTAAGTAATTGTTAATTGTCTAGATAAGAATCTTCTATAAATTCCAAAATTCAAATCCTTGACCTTATGCATTGAGTGTACTACTAAAATTTACAACACTTTTGTTTTTTTTCGATATCCGTGATAATATTCTCGAAGAGATGATGAATATCTTTGTTTCTCCATATTATTTTATGCAAAGATTGTAGGGCTAAGAGGGGGACATAAGGGCCCACTAGGCCTAAGGTTAAGGGGACATGTGGGACCGTTGAAGGGGTCAAGTCAGTTGATTTTGTCGGGCATTCGAGTTGAACGGACCACGAAGCTTTCAAAGGATAAGAGTTGGGGAAACCTCAGAAGAGGCTGCTGACCAACGACAACGATGGCCTGCCGGCGGAAACGGCACAAAAGACAGGCATTGTATTGGTACCATTTTGCTACCTCGAGCTCTTTGTGTATTTTGTACATTACAACCCTTTGTTTTGAGTTGTGACTTTTCTATTCTTACGTGAGTCGTTCGCCATTTTAGGTAAATACACTACAAAGCTATCCATTTGTGATTTTATTGTTACATAATTAATTAAAATTAATTAAAATGTATGTACAACAAGTATTTTTTGATAGAGAATATCCATAGAATATTCTTATCTTAGGTTTAGGATATATTTTGTATAAGATTATCTTTGATTCTTTACATATCTTATGTTACCTAATATGATTAGGTTTCTCATTGTAACCCTATAAATGTGTAAAAAAAGCCTTTTAAATTTGTCATCTTCTATTTACATACAGATTATATGTTTAATCTCATTCGACGAATTAAATATGCATTTATTATAAATTCTTTAAACGATCATGTTTTATTGTTATTTCACGTTGTATGTCATTATTTAGAAGCTCATAATATTATTTAAGAGATAAAGTAACACTTATCAATAATAGCATTGCAATAACAACGATTCATCAACTAGTGTTATTTAAGTAAAATTTAGATTAACTCAACTTAGTTACATAAATGCTTATCGGTGGTAAAAAAAAGTTACATATATAATTAACCATTAGAACAAACTCACTATTGGAAAGATTTGTTTATAATAATTCCATTTATTTGTTAAATACGTCACATATAATCTTTATTGAACAATATTAACACAAAATTACAAGTAATTCTCTTCCACATCAATAATACAAATGAAAACTAGTCATATTTGACAAATAAAATTTAAAACTTATCTATAATCTAATTAAAAATTATTAGGATGTTTCTACAACGGTCGTTTGAAATATGACTACCTTATTATTTTAATGATAAATAATATGAGCGATTTATTTTTTCACACTATAAATTGGACACAATTAGTATTATAATTTCTACAATGCAAATATAATTTTTGAAAATTTTAATTTACCATAAAATAAATATTTTTCGAGAAACTATATATTAACTGTAAAAATTACGTAAATAAAACTAAAAATTTGATAAATTAAAAAAATGTTGATAATAATATTTTATAGCAAAAATAGAGTAATATAATTAATTACGTGGATAAAAATAAGTTAAGTATGAACTATATAATCATTAAAATACTATAATAGTCATATTGCAAACGACCACTATAGAATTTTCAATATCGTAAATGTTTACTAATGCTTGTCAATTACTCCATAGTCTAGCTAGTTGATTAAAACCTTAATTCAAATGTATTATAAATAAAATCGAATATCGTCTATAACCTTCTTATTGGTTTGCATGCCAATTGATAGAAAGCGTGGTAGCCGTGGTTGTATCACTTGTATGTAGCTCTACATACATCTGGGTAAAATACTAAAATGTATGGAACTTATTGTGTTTTTATCTTGTTATTAAATATTAATTATTAGGTGATACTTTATATGCTTTTATAAAACCTATTGCACTTTGCACATTTGCATGTAGAACTATAGGTAAATAATTAAGCAGGTGTATGATCTATTTTGTGCCAAGGCGACTCCCATACCAAACAAAAAGACATGTAAATTAAATTATTTCTACCTTTTTTTTTTTGGGAGTGACTGATAGATAAGGGCAAAGCAAAGTTGCATGTAATTGCATGTAGCTAGCGGTGGGATTTTTCAAACCGAACCGTGAAACCGTCCGTTACCGAACCGAACCATCACGGACCGAACCGTTTATAACCCGCTAATTTTAAACCGAAAACCGAACTGAACCGTATAATGTCAAACCGAAACCGAACCAAACCAATTAATGTTAACCCGTTACGAACCGTAAACCAATAACAAACCAAACCGTTTATAAACCGAAGCCGTTTGAACCGATTAATGTTAACCCGCTAATTGTTTAAACCGAACCGTTTATAAACCGAAACCGTTTAAACCGTAGGAAAAAACCGTTTAAATCGAACCATTTACAACCCGCTAACCGTTTAAACCGAACTGTTATAACCCATTAAACCGTTTAAACCGAACTATTTTCAAACCGCAACCCGTTTAAACCGATCCGATTACAAACTATTTAAACCGAACCGTTTACAACCCGTTCCATTCAAATTGAACTATTTACAGCCTTTAACAATTTGTTAGAATTCCACGAAATATATTTGATGTTTAATGTAATTTAAATATACAATTTTTTTTACATATAATTACTGATTTAAATTAAATTTTTTTGCTATTATAAATTTAAAATTATATTCTTGTATAACTAAATTAGGAGTTATAAATTAAATAAAAAAATGAAAAAATTTGGCCACCCACCCAATCCAACAACCCTCCACCCACCCACCACTGTAACCCACCCTAACACCACCCCCGCCGTCACCCCAGACCCACCCTAACACTACCCCCCACCCACCACCGTTACCGTAACCCACCCCCACCCCACCAACGTCAACCCAGACCCACCCTAACACCACCCCCGCACCCACCATAATTACCGTAACCCACCCCACCCCACCACCCACCGTAAATAAAAAAACCCAGACCCAAACCTTACCCCACCCCATCCACCACCGTCACCGTAAATAATAAAAACCCAGACCCATACCCCACCCCACCTACCACCATCACCGTAACGTACCCCACCCCACCCCTTTAACAAACCCCACCCCACCCCACCCACCACCGTCACTGTAAAAAAAAAAATAATAAAAATACCAGACCCAACCCAACCACACCCACCACCGTCACCGTAACACACCCCACCCCACCCCATACAAAAAAATCGAAAAAAATCCAAACCCACCGTAACCCCACCCCACCCACCCCCATGAAACCCAACATCCTCGAAACCCCCCAACTCACTCTAATTGCTCACCCACCATAAAACTCCCTCCCTCCCTCGAAAAATCCTCCCTCCCCACCCACTCGAAAATTCCTCCCTCCCCACCCACCCGAACCCAGTCTAACCGCCGCCGCACCCACTCTAACTCGGCCCCCTCCGTTGCCCACAACTTGAAAAAAAATTAAAAAGAAAAACAAAAAATAAAAAAAGGAAGAACGAAAACACCTTATATATTAATCCTGAATTTGGCCTCGAATTTGGTTTTAAAAGGCTAAATTCGATCATGAAACAACTAGATCAAGAGTTTCGTGGTCGAATTTGACCATAAAAACCGTCGTGCGTGGTGCCGGTGGACGGAGACGGAGAAACGAGATGGAAGAAAGGAGAACATAGACGGAAGAAGGGAGAAGAAGGAAGAAGGAAGAGGAGATGAGAGAGAAAACGAGAGAGCAGTGAGCATATTAGCAGCCATGGCTTCAAAAAATTGATAATATAACAGAAGAGGATTAAGAAAACGAAAGAGAAATCAAAAAGAGTACTAAAGAGACGATGGTAAGAGTGATCTGATTGGTGGAAAAGAAAACACACGGATCGTGAATTGGAATGTGTGCGATAATAGGCCGTTAGATGACATGCAAATCAATGGCTGATATTTAATATAAGACGGTGACACGGATCATGGGATAATGGATTTGGATAGTATGTTTTTTTTTATTCATAGCTACATACTAATAAAAACACTACTGTACTCTTAATAAATAATATTTAATGTATATTAGTTATATGTATATCAGTATATGTAATAAATAATAATGTGTGGTACGATTGGTATCATACTATCATTGGTATGTATAGATAATCGATAAATGTATCTGATTATTAAAACTTAAAACAGTTGATGATCGATCTAATTGAATACTTCTACTTCCCCACCCGTTTTCTTTAACTTGCAAGTTACAACATATATATGTTGCAGCCTTGTAGGCACGTAATCTTAAAAGGTGATTAGAGAGGGTAAGACAACAAAGTAATTCAGCAATATAACTTTAACACCAAAATTATGGAATAGTTACAAACAATTGTCAATTATTACTTTATTAGACTAATGGGAAATTGAATAATCGTGATTTTAATTAAACATCCAAATATAGTTCCGTAACATTAAATTATTAGTTTATTACAATATCAATTATCGATTTATCGTATTCAAAGTACCAATTCATCAAATCATGGTTATGACGCGATCTTTAAAACAATTAAAACAAGAAGCTGATAGCCTGATAATATTTGATAATGAAACAATAATACATTAATACCTTATAAATTTGTAATAGACTAATATTTAATAAACAACAACAAGACTATAACCAAATTTGAAACATAAACATTAACATGATATAGAAT